CACAATGTTCATTCTTCCAATCCACGAACATGGTATATCTCTCCATCTATTTGTATCATCTTTAATTTCTTTCATCAGTGTCTTATAATTTTCTGCATACAGGTCTTTTGTCTCCTTAGGTAGGTTTATTCCTAGATATTTTATTCTTTTTGTTGCAATGGTAAATGGGAGTGTTTTCTTGATTTCACTTTCAAATTTTTCATCATTAGTATATAGGAACGCCAGAGATTTCTGTGCATTAATTTTGTATCCTGCTACTTTACCAAATTCATTGATTAGCTCTAGTAGTTTTCTGGTAGCATCTTTAGGATTCTCTATGTATAGTATCATGTCATCTGCAAAGGGTGACAGCTTTACTTCTTCTTTTCTGATTTGGATTTCCTTTTCTTCTCTGATTGCTGTGGCTAAAACTTCCAAAATTATGTTGAATAATAGTGGTGAGAGTGGGCAACCTTGTCTTGTTCCTGATCTTAGTGGAAATGCTTTCAGTTTTTCACCATTGAGGATGATGTTGGCTGTGGGCTTGTCATATATGGCCTTTATTATGTTGAGGAAAGTTCCCTCTATGCCTACTTTCTGCAGGGTTTTTATCATAAATGGGTGTTGAATTTTGTCAAAAGCTTTCTCTGCATCTATTGAGATGATCATATGGTTTTTCTCCTTCAATTTGTTAGTATGGTTTATCACATTGATAGATTTGCGTATATTGAAGTATCCTTGCATTGCTGGAATAAACCCCACTTGATCATGGTGTATGATCCTTTTAATGTGCTGTTGGATTCTGTTTGCTAGTATTTTGTTGAGGATTTTTGCATCTATGTTCATCAGTGATATTGGCCTGTATTTTTCTTTCTTTGTGCCATCCTTGTCTGGTTTTGGTATCAAGGTGATGGTGGCCTCGTAGAAGGAATTTGGGAGTGTTCCTCCCTCTGCTATATTATATTTTTATTTACTTTTTTTTTTTTTACTTTTTGGAGATGGTTGAAGTGTCTACTTTTTGTTCAGGTCTTTCAGTTTACTGCCGAAATTTCCCCCAAAAGGGAAATTCCCACCTTCATACTATTGATGAGTCTGTACTTGGAATTTAACACACACACGCATAGACACATAAATATAAGGTAGCCTTCATCTGGTCTCCTATTCATCTGCCATCTATAATTGGGTGTTATACATTCTGGTTTTTGAATGTTGAAAGAGGCAGCAAAAAGTTTTTTGAACTTTAATTACTAAGTGAAGTCATAGCTTTGGTTTGAGTTTTCCTTAATGAGGGAAATGAGTTGCTAACTTTTTAGCCAACTATTAATCTTGGATTTTCTTGTCTTAGGCTTCCAAGAACAAAACACTTGTTAAATGTCATCAATGAAAACTTTGGCACCCTTGCCTTCTGCCGCAGATGGCTGGATCGTTTGGGAGAAAGTAAATACTTGATGGCTCTGAAGAATCTGTGTGACTTGGGTATTGTAGATCCATATCCACCATTATGTGACATTAAAGGATCATATACAGCGCAGTTTGAACATACCATACTTTTGCGTCCAACATGTAAAGAAGTTGTCAGCAGAGGAGATGACTATTAAACTTAGTCCAGAGCCACCGCAACACCTTTTATTTTCTAAGCTTTGTTGGAATACATTATACCAGAATTAATTTGCAACCTGTTGTCTTTAACAGTGGACCTATGTAATACTTTTATCCATGTTTAAAAAGGAAGGAATTTGATCAAAGGCAAACCATTTAATGTAATTAACCAAGGACTTTGAACTGTTAACTGTTTTCCTTCTGTCTAGGAAATGCTATAAAGCTCCAATTAATTAGGAATGACCTAATACATTTTGTTTCAAACACCTAAGAGATGCTTTTCAGATATTTATATTGCCATATTCTTAATTGAATGCTTTGAATGACTACATCCAGTTCTGCACCTATACCCTCTGGTATTGCTTTTTAACCCTTCCTGGAATCCATTTTCTAAAAAATAAAGACATTTTCAGATCTGAGAGCTATATTTCAATGTCTGTGGTTATAATTCTGTACAGGAAATAGTTTAGCTTAATGTAGGAAAACGTAGAGCCTTTTATCTGGATTGTAGACCTCCACACTGAAACTTTTCTTCTGACGTAGTGGCTAAAACAAGATCTATACATGCATAAAGTGGGAGGAGAATCTTCATAAATTAATATACAGCTTTAGGCATATTTTACCTTTATTTTCTTTTTAGGACCATATTAGTCCTCGTCTCATTTTTCTCCTGACATTGGAAAGATCTAATTAAAACATATTAGTAGGAACATTGTACCAACTTAAAACCTTGATTTACTAAAATCTCAACCTTTAGATCCTTTGTCCAGTGGTAGTTATTTATTGAGAAATGTATTCAGCTTAGTAAGTGAAAAGGGTGCTTAAAACCACACAAATAAAAACAGGAGAACTTCCCATGTTTGGATCTTGTTCTAGTTAATTTTTAGGCTTTTTCATTAGTGAACCAAATTCTCTTAACACCCTGTCCCTGTACTGGCTTGAATTCATAACAACATGGGCGGTATTTCAGGAAGTGAGGTTACAATGATGCTCATAGCAGCTAAGTGCAGACGTTACATGTGAGATGCCTAATACTTGTTTGAACTGAGCCCCACAGTTCTTGAGCAGATTGCTTGAATTTTGTGTAAATGATTCGTTGGGAATGTTCCCACGTAATTTCAAAATTGTTATGTACCAGGGTAAAGCCTTAATTTGTATATGCTTTAGCACAATAAGATTGCCTCTGGGATGCTGTTTAGTTTGTATTTTGTTTAACATTTTTCTCCTAAGAAACCTGGCTTCTGTACTAAATCATTTATTATACATTAAAAAGTTGCTCTTTCATATTAGAGCTATAAATGTTATCTTGTGGGATAAACAGTGTAGTTTTTAGCTATATGAGCCATGTTTATTATGGTGCTAATGTTCAATAGCTACCTTTGAATAATCTCTCCATTTCCTCTGATGATGTGCAAGTAGCAGAGCTCACCAGTTCACGCCTGGACGTGTTACAGGGCTTGCGCCCTCCAGCTAGCTCTTTTGGGGCTTTGAGTCCATACCTTTCTGATGTGCTTTGGTGGGAGGTATAAAGTATCTTGATTTCTAAACCCAAGAACTTTCGAATTGAGTCAAGAATTTGTAGCTTTGTAAAACCTCTTCAGCAGTAGTGATCTCAAACCAATTATAAGCTTGAAGCTCCCTTCCCAAGTTGGGAGCAGTGGCATCACTGCATGCCCCGGAATGGCAAGGGATATGATCTTGTAAATAGGAAAGCTGTTACTTAAAAATTGTATTGTTCACCTACTAGCCATGTATCTCTTGAAATCATTTTGTCATGTTTACAATGATGTACCTTATTGGTAACAAATTATTAGCTTGATGTTTAACAATAGTGCCTTTAGTAAATTATTTTACAACCAAAACACGTTGTTTTTTGTTAGATCAACTTAGCAGAATGTGTAAGTCCACAAGGAGATGTACTGTAAGAAATCTAAGTTTCTGTTCATTGACTAGGTTTTAGTTTTGTTATTTTAATAGCCTTCATTTTTTTAGATCAGTTTTAGGTTTGTAGCAAAACTGAGCATAAAGTACAGAGTTCCCATGTACCCCCTTCCTCGACTTCAGAAACACAGAGCCTCCCCATAGGTTTTAGTTTTAAGGATTTAAAAAGTAAAGGGCTAAGTCACTTACTACTTTCTCGTATGTATTTACATTGAAGTAAGTACTGAAACAAGCAACTATACCATTGTAAACAACATAGCTTCCAGAGTTGTTTTTAACTGTTCCACTAAAATTAGGTACTAAAAGGTGTAGCAGTTTAAGTATAAAGTAATCCTTGACATTAAGAAACGTTAGACTCAGGTATCTTGACCACAGTAAATCTTTAATGAGGTATAATAATGTTAACAGTTGAGGTAACAACTTGCATAGGTATTTAATAGATGAATGATTTTAAACCTTAGCCATTTAATACTCGAGCTGTAGTTTTGGCATGAATGATTTGTTCAGTGATAAATTCTCATTGCACTTCACGATCAGCTGCCTGAAATGATTTCAACCTGCAAGCAAAACCCACTTGAGAAAAAAGATAAATCATCTTCCAGTGGTTAACACTTAGCTAAGATATTACATAGCTCTTCTATAGAGGTTAATGGATTCTCATCTTTCTGAATAAAATTAAATTAGCAGCTGTAGGACTTTAAAGAGATCTAATAAGGTTGTTAGGGAAGAGCAAAGAGTATTACATACTATATTTTTAATAAAATGCAAGTGTAATTTTTTTTAATTTTAAAAAAGGGCCCAGTGTTTGAATATCTAAGAGGCTCTTAGTATTCACATAATCCTAGCAAGAGTAACTTAATCCAGGCTTTAGTTATTTAGAAAAATGAGATACTGAATATTTTGCCCAGATGCCAATATCTTGTGTGTCCTATGCAATTTTTTCTCCTCGACTTATTTTTATCCCTTTAAACTAAAAATTTCAAGATACAATATAGTACAAAGCTTTAAGAGATCTAATGTTAAATATATAAAATGAACTCATATCCAAGTTGAACTGTACTTGTATTATATCATAATATACTGTTTGCTACATTCAGTTTTTTTATGACTGCTTTATTAGAATCTGGACAAACCTATTTACTGCCAGACAATCATTATAAATCTTGGCCAGCATTGTTTTCATGTCCATAGTACTGAAGTCATTTAAACATGCTATTTATAAAGCTGTCATCTTCATTTGTATACAGTTTGACTATGCCAAATAAAGAACAATTATTAAAACTTAATAAATTTTTGAAAAAAGGAAGTTCCAATAACCAAAATAATGTCTGTTCTGAGCCCTGTAACACACAAAGCCTCAGGAATATTAATGAGTGTGATCAGTGAGTATTTAAGTGGTACCTTGATATTTCACTTTGTAGTAGTTTAACTCCCTTTAGAGGGCAAAGGTGACTTCAGTATACAAATCTGAAAGAAATGCCTTTTTTTTTTTTTTGGTAAGACTATTAGTGAAAAAAGTCTAATATTCTGTCTGATAAGAATTTGTATAGAAAATAGCTATAAAAGATAAATAAGAAATGTATAAAATGATGCCACCTGAACTTCTTCAGTAGAAGATTGCACAAATTCATGATCTGAGCCAATTAAGACATCGAAATATAAAAGAGGTAACACCAGTCTGAGGTAAACACTAAAAGTTTAAAACTCCCAAGTACTTGAAAAACATTTAGTTACCTGCTGACATTGATACACATATACTTACGCTAACTTCCTCTGTAAAAAAGAGATTTGTTGTAGTTAGGTACAAAATATGTAAACATAGTGTGCACTGATTAGTAAGTAAAAATAAAAACAATGAAGCTCAAAATTAAGTCAGCCCTTTAAAAAGTATATATACAAATCACAAGAAGAAAGCCCCACTGTCTTTGGATCAGCTAAGGATTTCATTAGAAGAGGCATCAGCTTCTTCACTGGGATGTTGGCTACCAGACAGGAGTTCTGGAGGCAAGAGTTTAGAATGTCCATTCTCAGTAACTCGCTGGGTATAAAACAAGATATAAGCTTGGGCCTTGCATACTTCATCCATAGTGCACATGCTTAGCTTGGAATCATTGCAGTGTACCCAGAACCCTAGAGTGAAGCACAGAAATACATCTTAATGTTTACAAAGGAACTTTAGAAGTTTCTAGCATAAATGAAAACATGGATTTAAAGACAGTTTCAGTGAGAGCTAAGCTTTTTTCAAAGGGAAAATAATAGTCTAGCCAATTTATTTCTTTTAATTAGAAATACAGCTTGGGCAGTATGTTACTCTGGAATTATCTACCTTTATCCTAGAAGTAATTTGAAGTTACAGAATCTGACCGATTGGTTCACTTGACACTAGCTTTAATTCCTGGTATAATCTTACCAGTTCATGCTTTGCTGGTAATTATACTGTAAAGCAAATAGTGTACAACTCATGGTAGTGTTAAATTAATTGCCTTCATGGGTTATTTGGGGCCTTTTGTCCATACCTCTTTTTTCTAAGGTTCATGGAGGCATTAAGTAAAAGTTTTATATGTTAGAACTTGAACTCAAAGTTTGTTCCAAATATCTGTGATCTGCCAGTTTGTTAGATGCTTTGTTCTTTAACGAAAGTAACTGAATTAAACCAGTTAAAACAGAGGATCTACTTTTGGAAGTGTGCCTTTAGCACTCTCTGACCTTTAATTACTGAGACCATCCTTACTATTTTATCCCTTCAGCTCTTATAAGTCAAAACTACCACAATCCTGCATAAAATATCCCATTTTCTGCACAAAACCCCCTGTTTTTTATGAACAATACTGCAGAAGCATTCTTCTTGAAAGAAAACAGGTCAAGTGGCTTTGCTTAAGATTACTTAGTGGTCAGTTTAGAAACCCTGAAAGCCTGAACTCTGGCTTCCAAAAGTCTAACCCAAGATAAAACACTTTTTCTCGTCTCTACCTCCTTCGGAATTATAACAGTAGGCAGTGTAGTGTCCTGAGCCAAATCCTTTCCCGTGGTGCATTACTACAGCAGATAAATCATAGATAAAACATTCTGGTCTGAGGGATTTCAGGGATTCCCTGCAGCAATAGGGCTCCATGTTTAAGATTTCTTCAAAGCCAACATGAACACCAATCTTCTCTCGGTTATTATGTCCTGACCACCTACGAACAAATCAGGGTAAAATTATCAACAAAAATCAAGGGAAAATAACCACGTACTAGGTCCAAACTCATAATAATAGAAGGCCTCAGCGTAGAGTACAACCATATATAATAAATAGTGTAAACAGAAAATCCTTTCAATGCTAAAGTTGGCTATAAATAGAGGAATGTAGGCTTATTTACCAAACAGGTACAGTCAGGTTGTAAAATAAATTATTTGGCTTCTGTAATTAGATGACAGTATAGGAAGAAAATTAACTTTCAGAAAAATATGGCACTATGGCATTTTCCCCCTTTGAAGAGAGAAATTCAACACACCAAAGGGTTTTTAATTCTTACTGTCTTGTCCATACTTGGAGGAGGATGTTCCAGAACCTAGAGTTTGTTCCTGGGAGACATAACCTGGACCTTTCTTGGCCAGGGGTGGAGAAAAAACAAAACAGGGCACCTCTAATTCCTCAGAACATTTCAGAGCTCTTCATACTAAAAAAATAGAAACTGTGACCCTTCCCTGTGTGTAAATCAGTATAACACCTGTTAGTGACAAAACTCAAATAATGTCCCTATACTGTCAGTTTCTCAATCTGTTGGTCATGCTTCCCAGTACGGGGTCTATGCATGTAAAGCAATGTTTTCATCTTATGCATAGTATGAATTGGTGCTACAGGAGAAAAATAATGTAATATATGTTAGTTCTTTCAAGAGATTATAATCCAACTTGGGGTGTTATGGTGCAGAGACAAAAGAGAGACAGATGAAAATATAGTATTAAAGTATTGGGGCTTCCCTGGTGGCACAGGGGTTAAGAATCTGCCTGCCAATGCAGGGGACACGGGTTTGAGCCCTGATCAGGGCAGATCCCACATGCTGCAGAGCAACTAAGCCCATGTGCCACAACTACTGAGCCTGCGCTCTAGAGCCCGCAAACCACAACTACTGAGCCCACGTGCCACAACTACTGAAGCCCGCGCACCTAGAGCCCGTGCTCTGCAACAAGAGAAGCCACCACAATGAGAAGCCCGTGCACCGCAACGAAGAGTAGTCCCCTCTCGCCACAACTAGAGAAAGCCTGTGCGCAGCAACAAAGACCCAATGCAGCCAAAAATAAATAAATTTTTTAAAAAAGTATTAAAACATGAGGTTAAGACAGCAGGAGGTAGAGAAGGGAGAGGGGCATATAGACAGGTTTTATGAAGGAAAAAAATGTGAAAATGCTTATTAGTATGATGTAAAATGTGGTATGGAACTAAAGTCACGTGAGACTTGCAAATTATGTCATCTGCTGGACTAGAAGTCATATCCCAATCTTTCCCTATTAAATGTATAAAAAAAATCCTGTATCCAGTGTACCTTTAATCTTAGTAAAGATGGAAGACCAAGCATGGAAAATAATGGGACTTGCTTAACCTAAGTTCCTGTCATTCTCACTTTATCTCCCTTTTATTTTACCATAAAATTCAAACCTTAAATTACTTAATTATGCTAAAAAGTTATCTAATTAGAAAATATTCATTTCTGCCATTTGCAGCAACATGGATGGACCTAGAGATCATCATACTAAGTGAAGTCAGAGAAAGACAAATATCATATGACATCACTTACATGTGGAATCTAAAATGATACAAATGAACTTATTTACAAAAGAGAAACAGACTCACAGACTTTGAAAACAAATTTATTGTTACCAAAGGGGAAAGATACGGGGGAGGGAGAAATTAGGAGGTTGGGATTAACCTATACACACCACTATATATAAAATAGATAATCAACAAGGACCTACTATATAGCACAGGGAACTCTACTCAATACTCTGTAATAACCTATGTGGGAAAAGAATCTGAAAAACAATAGATATATGTATATGTATAACTGAATCACTTTGCTGTACACCTAAAACTAGCACAACATTGTAAATCAACTATACTCCAATATAAAATAAAAATTAAAGAAAAAAATATTCATTTCTATCAATAGGTGGGTACCCATTATTTTCTGCTGATAAAAATACAGTAAAATGATAAAGAAAAAGATAACACTATATCCAAAATTCATAATGGTTTACTTCTGAGAGGGTGCAGGAATAGGACTAGGAGGCACACACATCGGAACTTCTAAGGTATTAGAAATGTTGTTTCTTATGCTTCTTAAAAGCGCTTGGGCGCCCCTCCCCAATCCCATTCTCCCTTTTATCTTACATACCCTATGTATTGTATACACTGGCAAATAAAATAGTACTTTTTGAATAGATGAAGAGAAAGGAAAGAGATAAATGTGGTGGTAGTGGCTGCATAAAAATGGTCTCTGAATCAGAAATATGGCATGAAGCGTCAAAAATGTTTTGGGCAGAAGATGGAAGGGGGTCAAATAGGTTTAAATTAAGGTGAGCTTTAAATGGCAGATTAAAGAGTCAATTATGAAGAACAGGAGGTTCTTCAACAATTTATAGTAGCCAATTAAGTACCAATTTAAGTACCATAAATTTAAGTCCTTTCAATGCTGTCTTTATGGAATCTTATATGTTCTCACCTCTCCATGCTACCTGGCCCTGAACAATATTCACCTCCTAACAATCTTCCTGTTTTCATTCCACTTGATTTTACACACCATGGCAGGTCTCACCAGACTTTTCACTAAACTTTTGTTATATACCCTTTCCTTCCTTCATACCTTTGTTCAGGTTGCTCTCAGGCTAAAGTCCTCCTCCTGTATACACCCCATTCATTCACTTAATATTTTGGGGCATCTACTATGTACTCAGTTCTAGGCTTTGGAATATAGGAATGAAAAAGACAAGATCCATGTCATTACTGAGTTTCTGTTCGTGGGGAGAGAAATAATAAACTATTGCAGATAGTGGTTTTTGCCATGAAGCAAAAATAGGGTAGGTAACGTGACACTGAAGGTTGGGTGGTGCTACTTTTAAATAGGATGGTCAGGGAAGTCCTCTAAAGAGATGAAATATGAACTGAGATTTAAATTATACAAAGTCCTCTATGCCATTAGAGAGGCTTTGGGAATGTTTAGATTTTGCCTAACTCCCTCCTCCAAGGCGCTGATAAATCATTTTGTATATAGTTTGTGATACTTGGTATTTCTACTTCACTATTATTTCTGTGCATGCCTGATTATAATCTTGTTGAGAAAAGAATCCAACCTTATATTCCCCAAAGAATATGAAACAACATCTGGCATTAAAAAGCACTCACGTGGTATCTGCTGACTGTACTTTTAACAGCTTAAATAAATAACTTTAGTCAATTATTTCCATTAACAGTGATTATCTCTGGGAAGTGGGACTGAGAGAAAGAGGTACTTTTAGTTTGGGCTTTTACATTACCTTCTGTAATGTTTGAATTTTTTTTTAACATGTATTCCTTTAATTTAAAAAAGAAAGAAACTGGCAACAACTAATATGTACAAGAAACATGATCTCAATAGTTTCCAAATCATAGCACATAAAGTAACTTCTCATTTCTTAAGAGAAAAATAAACTCTCAAGTTAACATGGTTATTACAAGGTATGAATCCATATGCTTTGATTAACCAACAGATTTGCCAACTAATTTATCTAAATATATTTCTGAAAACTGAAGCTTTTTGTTTTTCTTTTTAACTGCTTGGAACTGAACTGCTATACCATTGTTCAAATATTTTCCAAGCATGAAGCAATTGGGTCAAATACTCTCAAGTTATAGATTTAAATTTTAAAAATTTTATGCCTAAAATATGCTGAATACTCTCAAATACTCTCAAGTTATAGATTTAAATTTTAAAAATTTTATACCTAAAATATGCTGTATACTCTCAAATCAAATACTCTCAAGTTATAGATTTAAATCTTAAAATTTTTTTTTTAAATCTTAAAAATTTTATACCTAAAATATGCTGAATATTAAACACTATAAGCAGAGACTTACAAGGAGAATGATACTAGCAGACCGAAATGCGAGGGGTCAGCAATACATTCTGCAAGGGAAGATAATCAAGGAGAGTTACTGAACATGGTGTCTATGATTAGGGCTAGAGACAATGACAGAATTTTTTTCCCTTAAAAAAAAAAAAAACAAGTAGATAAGTCATCTAGCCATGTATTAAAATTTATTCTACTACTAACCTGAATCGTTTGAGATGTAGTCTGAGAACCTGAGGTAGGTGGCAAATCATAAGCTGTTTCTGGGCTTCTGTGAGTACAACTGGTTTTGAGGAAAACCTTCTACGCTTTGCTGTGATATTAAAGACAGAATGAGATGCAAATTTAAGGATACAAGGAAAAGCTGAGTAAACTCAAAATAATTCGACATGCATTATCAATTAAACATCTACTGCATTACAGGCATTTTACTGTGTTAGAGATAAAGGCATGGCCTTGCCCTCAAGACACTTAGAATCATGTAAACACACAAAACTTATGAGCTAGTCAAGGTATACAGACATGTAAACAAATAAGCACATTGACTCTTGAACAATAAAGGCTTGGATTACACGGGTCCACTTACATGCAGATTATTATTTTTTTCAATACATGTACAGTCGGCCCTCTGCAGGTTTCGCATGCACAGATTCAACCATGGATCGAAATTTACATCCGCGGTTGGTTGAATCCGCTGATGTGAAATCTGCAGATACAGATGACCTACTATGGAATTTGAGCATCGGTAGATTTTGGTATAAAAGTGGGCGCTCCTGGAACCAATCCCCCATATATACTGTACATGATTTAATATAATCCTGAAAATAAGGCAACAGAATGATACTGTGCTATAATATTTTTAAATGGATTTGGCCATGCCAACTAACAGGAAAAGTTAAAACTCTCCCTAAACATACTTTAATATACTCTGAGTCTAATTAAAAAGTTTCATGGTCAGTTCATTTCTTGAGGCTAATCAGGATCCCCGGGGCATGGGACCTTCCTTCCAAGAACACCCATCCCTGCTTCCTGGGGATCCACCCCAGCACTGCCCAAGAAAGCAAGCCTTTACTAGCTCAGCATCTGAGGTCTCCCTCAGTATCTTGCTATTTTAGTATCAAATCTTAAACAAGTGGAACTGAGGATTCTTTTTGTTTACCCCCCTGCTTCTCTAGAGGTCCACCTATGGACCTTGTCCTGGCTGGGCCATTGGCTACCAAAATTTGCTCTTGATGTCCAGGAGCTATTCTTCAACTTGTACAACAACTGCGACTCCAGCCGTAGCAGCAGCTGCTTCTCATGTAGGAAGTAGAATCAGTCCACCATGAGGCTGTCCTCTAACCCATCTCCTCTTGCTACCAGAAGCCTTTCCTCCAGGTCTATGCCCCTGAGATCCAGGTATCAGGCTGCTGCTGAATGTCAAAGACCTACCTTTGGATTGTCATCCAGAAATATATGGTCCAAGTGTAGCTACACAAACGATGTTAACTCCTTGAATTATAATTTTAAACATTTGACATTATGTATTAAATTAAGGCAGCTCTTTTAGGCCCTTATTTGGTGGACCGAGGAGACACACACAAACATGTTATAAAGCCATATTCTGCATTTATTCCTATCTTTCTACTCCCAGATTTGGTGATGGAAGCATCTAGGACCATTCACATTTATGTCCAAGAAAAAAAATACTTCACTAACAAATCTGATAAAGGTTTATTTTCTTTTAACCTTATAAATCTTAGGCTCCTATAAATTAACAGATTTTATATTAGGCAGCACACAGAAAACAATGTTAGTATAAGTTGTCCTAGAATACGATCAACTGATGTGCCATTTTTTCAATGCTGGAACAGCCATGTTTCTTTTATATTTACCTTATAAGTTTAGTATCTAAAGCCCTAGAATCATTTTTTCAGACATGGAGCTTAAGGAGAATATCTGCAAATATAAAGTATAAACACTAAAATGCCATGTACACATCGACAGAGATAAAGAAACTGGATAAAGACACAGAAGATCCGATGTGGTTTTGTATACCGTTGCCTGGAGGATGATGCTTCTTTAATTGAAATGGCTATTTCATCCCCCAGTGCTGGGTTCCTATGCTCGCCTCTATCAGAGAGCTTATCATAGTAGATCTTAATTGTCTGTTTCCTCCATTAGGTATGTGAACATCTTGAAAGTGTCTTACGTCTATCCACAGCAACTAGAACAATTACTAATATAGAAGAGACAGTCAGTAGATGGTTTTTGAATAAATTTTTGTTTTTATGAAGCCAAAGTCCATAGCAGCAGTCCAACTATATGTCTTATTTCCTATTATATAAGTACGCAGACACACACACACACACACACACACACACACACACGCACACACACATATTATCTATATATCAATGTTTTGATATGTAGCAAAAAGACTCATAAAGCAAACATTTCACTCAGTACTAAATAACATGGTTACCTTTTACTATTCCCATTTGCTACTTTATTCTGCCCTCACATATTAAATTTAAATCTTATTTTACGAATTCTTTCTATAATTTACTATAGGATCAAAACATTTTTAATGTCATCAATAAGGGAAAACAAACACATAGTTCACAAATGCCAATTGAAAAGTAGAACTATCCAGCCAAGTTTCTTTTGATAAACTAACAGTTTATTTCTATACCTGCTACTAAAGGAATTTATTCCAGCTTCCTTCATTTGTGTTTCTCTTTGCTAACCTTAGAAAAGCAAAGAGAATATACAGCTTCTACTTACAATTGCACTGGTCACATATGTAGATTTTTCCTTCTAAAGCTTCGGTTTCTGTGAATTTGGCCAACATTTCAGTAACCAGACATGGCTGGGAAGCAATATCTTTTCCACTGCATTGGTATCTTTCTGGAAATTCCAGTGACAAGTCCCAGAAAGGTTCTATGGTGTTTGATTTGTTGTCACATGCAAGACATGTAACCTGCAAATAAAAATATTAGTTTCTCAGATTACAATCCTTCTGTCAAAATATTTATTCCTTTCACTAGAAGCCACTGCCAGTAAATTAGCTCTTCTTCTGAAGATGCACTATCAGAATTCTGAATAATCTGTTTTATATTATTTTCAGGGAATAATTTTTTTCTTCCGTAAACCCATCATGCATTGATGGGCTTTAACTACTAGGCATTCGAAAAGCTCCAACGGCATTAGTCAAGTCTGAATTTAGTAGAAAACCAAACCATGGACTCAGTTATATACCCATTGTGTGTATATATATGTGTGTGTGTATGTGCATCTATACATATATAATATATATGATATATATTTATATAAATTTAATTTAACGTGTTTAGATTATTAGACTTGAGGTTCTTTGCCCCTTTTCCTTCCTCATCTTTCACTGATTGATTTTCTCTCCCCAAATCCCTATAACCTCTTAACCATGATACAAGTAAAATACTACTAGTATATTTTTATATACAGATTTTAAAATATAGTATATTTTTATATATGGTATATTAGTATATATTTTGAAGCCCTACCAACTGATAATTTCAAAGGATAGTACATATAACATAAATATACATATAATATAAATATTATACATATAATATAAATACTCCCACTTAAAGCAAACATCACTACATTAAAATCCTCATCAAAATATAGGAACCATATAGAATATGAGGCCTTTCTAACAACTTATGTAGGAAACAGAGTAACTGGAAAAGGAAAGAATAATAATTTCAGTAAAGCATTCAGCAGGATTTAATGCCAACAAACACTGCCCATAACCGAAGACAGACTCTGTAGATCTAAAAATCCACACATGATACGAAATATCACTAAACTCTTTCATAAAAGCTATATTCCTGGAACAAACAAAAATAAAGAGGCCAATTTTAATGTAGATTTTAGATTTAACACAATGACACAAAGAAAATAATACTCCTGGTGTTTAGTTTGGGGACTCACTAGGACCATGGTCTGACCTTTTGAGAACAGTTTCTTGAATTTGGTGTGGGGGTGGGGCGGGGCGGGGCATTCCAACCTCTGAATCTCCTGAGATGACCAGTTTCCTAAGTGTTTATTACACATTGAAACGAAGAAAGCAAAATGCTAGCACAACAATTTTTATTAATTTCAAAATTCATCCATAAAGGAAAAAACAAGCACATAACCCCTCTCGCACTATTCAAAATATAAAATGGCAACTTTCTGGAAAGAAATTTGCAGCCAAGTATCAAAAGTCCTAATCTTTGACAAAGTAATTCTACTTCTAGGACTCTGTCCTAAGGAAATCATTAGAAAAACCGTATTAATTGATCGTGACATTATAATGATGTCTGGAAACAGTTTACAAGTCAACAATATGGAAATGATTAAATAAATTATGGTATATACATATGATGGACACTGAAATGTTGTGAAAAGAATGATCAAATATTTTGATGACTATGAAAAATCCTTACATTATTAAATGAAAAAGTGAAAAAAAGCAGGTAAATTCAACATGACCATACAATTAGCGGGAAAAATATGTATAAATATTCAGAAGAAAAAAAAAAACCTAGATGGAAATATACCAAAATATTAATAGTTTTATGTGTGGGTTATGTGGAGTTATAGTACTAAGGGATGATTTTTCTTCTGCATAGATTTACTATACCATATAGATTTTCTATATGGTATATATTATTTTCTTTATAATTGTGTATTTTAACTTTTGCATAAAAAGTTTAAAATGACAGAGAAAGATGGTGGAAAAATAAAATTGCATGCAACACAAGAAGCACAACTCTTATGTGCTAATTGACACAATGTAGAATCTATACATTTCTGAAATATGAAGGGAAATAAACTTCATAGATATTCCCTAAGAAATACATTTGAAATATTTAAACTACATTCCAGAAAAGTATGCTATAAAAACAAAAGGTGGTATTATTACCATGAAAGTTGAACTGAGGAACAGAAGCATGTGTATAGGGGCCTAATTGCCTCAGTTAAAAAATAAACTTTTTTTTTTAACATCTTTATTGGAATATAATTGCTATACAATGGTGTGTTAGTTTCTGCTTTATAACAAAGTGAATCAGCTATACATATACATATATCCCCATATCTCATCCCTCTTGCAAATAAACTTTTTAATAGATCTTTATTGGAGTATAATTACTTCACAATACTGTGTTAGTTTCTGTTGCACAACAAAGCGTATCAGCCATATGCATATTGACTTACTTCACTCTGTATGACAGACTCCAGGTCCATCCACTTCACTACAAATAACTCAATTTTGAATAAACTTTTTTTAAAGCTCTATGCTCTGGAAAAGTAGAGAGCCGATGTCTAGTAATAGTCTACCAACAAGTCCACTCATTCTAGAGAATCATTAATTAGATGGAAGATTCTGGTTTTCTGACTTTCACAGGGAAATTTTTGCGGGTGTAATTAAAATAAAGGAAAACCATTTAGGATCTTTCTAGATGAAATCACATTTATTTACCTTAAAATTTTGCTACCTACTTGTTAAAAGTTTTCAAACCTTGCCCCCTTTGGTTCTATAGGAAATCCTCCAGGGCTACTCCTTGGTCCCTGAAATTTCTCAAGTGTACACCAAATCCATTCCCAGTACAAAAGTATCTTCAGGGCTTCCCTGGTGGCGCAGTGGTTGAGAGTCCGCCTGCCGATGCAGGGGACACGGGTTCGTGCCCCGGTCTGGGAAGATCCCACGTGCCGTGGAGCGGCTGGGCCCGTGAGCCATGGCCGCTGAGCCTGCGCGTCCGGAGCCTGTGCTCCGCAACGGGAGAGGCCACAACAGTGAGAGGCCTGCGTATCGCAAAAAAAGTATCTTCAAATCTGTTCCTTGTGGGATTAAACTCTTCTCAATCCCTCAGAGAACGAATGCAATATCATTAACCTAAGAAGCTCTGTTTCCTGATTCCCTCTCCCCATCAAAAAGCTTTAATATACCATGGATGTAAAACTACTTCCAATGATTCATGAAGGAAGCAACTATAAGAGTGAGCTGACTTCTTCATACATTGTAAAAGTGACCAATTTTGACCTGACAACAGTACTAGTGCTAACATACTCGATATACAGAGAATATGCATTTTTTGGGCTTCACTTTATGAATTCCCCAAGATGAAAATAAGATTTTTAAAAATCCATACCTGACTAAGAAGTTGTCCATGAAAGATGTTATTTACAACATTCAGAACCTGCTTGATAAGTTTCCTTTGAGAAGTGGGGATAAGAGCTGGTAACCTGGTACCAGTTGTCTCTAGTTCATGTTGTATTTTATCCAAAAGCTCACAAAGAAATTCCTGAGCATCTTGTTGGGCATAACCACGAAAAGCAGGAATTAGTCTCCATACTGAGTGTAGCATAGCAAATGGTGAGACCAAGGCCCACTTTCCAGACCACATGACTTGGAACAAAGTATGCAATTCATGACAGAGAGAAATGTATTGTGAACTTGGCTCCCTTGGCTGAATAAGTTCCATCTTTCTACTCTTTGATGCTCCACCGCTTAGTCCTGATGATAAACTTGGATGTCTGGAGCGAACAGAGCATGTTTCTTTTTCTTGGCATTCATTCATTTGATATACTGTATCTGTGATTGGAGGATGCTTATAAGATGATCTTGTTTTATCACTAGCTGTCACAGCTAGCCATTGGTTCAGATCAAGTTTTAAAAAACATTGTCGAAAAATAAGTAAATGACTTAACACTTGAAGAACAGAATTCATATAGCAAGTATTTCCCAAATTTCTCAATCCTGTTACACCAGGAGTTACTATTGGTCTTCGTTTAACAGAGGAGTCACTGGCTTCTTTTAGTCTTACATCTTCTGAGGTAGATACTACTTTATCTTTTGCTGGTGATGCTGAGGCTTGCAGTGGTACTTGAACAGGAACTATTTCTACTGTGGTGGACTCAGCTAGACCTTGCAAACGTAAACTCTTTCTTGGAGGCATACTTTCCAATTCTGCTTTAACTTGATACTCTAATTCTTGCCGTCTTTTCTTCACTTCTCTTTTTGCTATTTTTTCCTGAAATTGTTCTTGCCTTCTTCTTCCAGTGGGTGACTGTTCAAACCAAGTTCGAAAGATTTTACCCATTAGTATCCTTCTCCTGTGCCAAAGAGCAGTATACATTTGATCTTCATTTTGAAGCAGAGATTGGGTGCCATCATGTAAGAAATAAGAATCATCACTTGTACCCACAGACCGTAAAACCCTTCCACTACGAGTGGTGCAGTGATAATTCTGACTTTTGATTGCACTTAATGTACTTCGTAGTAACTTCAGGTCTCCAATTGCATTATCATTAAGAACATAATCATCACAAAGGTAACAAAAAACATACATCTCATTCACCTCCAATGCAACAGGATGACTGCTTTCTTGAAAGTGCCTGAGTGCATGTTCTTCAATATATCTTCCACAAGCCACATGGGAACAGCTAAGGCAAGCCCAAATAGACTCAGTTGTATTGCAGTCCACACAATGCCATTTCTGAGGGTTGAGGATGGAATGGTCTTGAGCAAGCCGCAACTGCCCAATGTGTTTGCACTTATCCATTGTTAGCATTTATTTAGTCTAGCTGAGAAACACATAATCCAAACAAGTCTCTGTTCATAACATTTGAAGCATCTGAAAACTAAGCAGAACAATGTCAATTTTTAATAAAAGAAAAACAAAAAGCCAATATTTTTCTTTTTCACAAGGTATTTTTTCCAGGAATTATTTTATTTTTCCAGGAATAATTTAATAAAATTGCTCTCTCTGCTCCCAGTACTTGGGCTGCCTGTCATAATACCATAGGCAGTTCTCACTTTTCATTTACTCTAGACTTCACTAATCTTTCATCCACCTTGCTCTGAAAGCACACACACATCACCTAACTTTCTCTGATGGTTCCTTTTAAAAACTTTGTTTTTAATTTTATGCCACCATCTACTGGTAAAGAATGGGTAGCAATCCCTTTTCACATCCCCTTTTATCCAATAGTCTGAAGGCAGTTTACAAAAATATTCATTTTCTTAAAAATTGGGACTGGCAAGACCCAAATACATCTCATTAGTGTCTATATTCTGAGAGCCCTAAGTGGAGTTACTAAAATATAATCATAGTTAAAAGCATGGGTTTTGAAGTAGAAGCACTTAGGTTTGAAGCTACCTCTGCCACATACTGTTTATATGTCTGATTTGATCAAATATTCTAACTTCTCTAAACTTCATCTGTAAAACAGGGAAAATCATACCACCTTCACAGAATTGTTAAAGGACTGAGATAACAAAATATCTGGCACATAGTATGCTCAGATATTTTGTGAGATATATAAATGCTCAGTAAACAATAAATATCTACACATAGCTATAGTGAACAAATCAATATTACATTCTATTTATTTAAATGATACTAAATAAAAATACTAAATAGTCTAATTAACTACCATTTAAAATTTGGCTTTCCACTAGTAAATCAATAATGACCTTTAATTCATGGCTCTGTAACAATAGACTCTGATTTGATAGACTTGACAGTTTGCCTTAAGGAAAGAGAAAAGCATTCTCCCATTCTGTCTTTGTATTTGAATAGACTCTCAGGAATGTGCAAGGATGTATAAGCAAATTAAGAAAAAAGAGGAAAAATATGAAGTGAGTGGCAATATAATGAACTTCTACATTCTGGCAGGCTAAGCATTATCTGAAATTAGAAGTTTATTTCAAAAAACAAACCCACAAGGCTTCCCTGGTGGCGCAGTGGTTGAGAGTCCGCCTGCCGATGCGGGGGACACGGGTTCGTGCCCCGGTCCAGGAGGATCCCACATGCCGCGGAGCGGCTGGGCCCATGAGCCATGGCCACTGAGCCTGCGCGTCCGGAGCCTGTGCTCCGCAATGGGAGAGGCCACAACAGTGAGAGGCCCGCATACCGTAAAAAAACAAAAACAAAAACAAAAAACCCCACACACCAAAGAAACTTAACATAATAAAACAAATGTGATTCTGACCCAGAAACTTGTTCCTTTATCAGTTAAAGAAACACATCTGCTACCTGAACCTAAAAAGAGTGAAACGAAATCTAGTTAAAAAGTAGGGAATCACAAAACATTTTCTTCATTGATTTAACATAAATTGAACACAAATTTTATGTTGCAGCTGAGGACCTAGATACAGAGCACTCACAACATTGTGTGTAGCATGATCAATGCTTTCCATTTTTTAGGACAGCAAGACAGTATGAATTTCAATGTTACTTGCAGATGCTGCCCAAGGCCCTAAGAAAACTGCAAAGGTAAGGTTGATTTTTGGGTTTTCCCACCTCTTTTTTGTAAAATCTCCTAGCAATCAGAGATACTCCTGCCCACCACCAATTTCTTAACTCTTAAATACAGGGTTTGCTGAATAAAGATTTAAGACTGCCAGCCCCAGCCCTCACAACTGCACACACTTCACTTCTCTTCCCTCAAAATTTCCTGAGGCCCAAAATCTGGTCAAATATAGTATTTTATTAGAACCAGCATTCAACAATAGCTGCAATGGCAAAAGTAAGACATCAGTGATTAATATGCTCCATTACCCTAAATCCTTCCAGGTACTGAGGTTAATAATCTTGGAATCATACTTGTCTCCTCTCTTTCTCTCTCCCCACATCAATCCTTTAGGAAGAATGTTTGGCTCTACCTTCAAAATATATCTAGAATCTGATTACTTATTATCTCTACTGCTACCACCCTGGACCAAGCCACAATCAAGTGGATTACTGCAGTTAGGCTCCTAAATGTTCTACCAGCTTTGATCCTTGCTGCCACCAAAAGTTTACTGTTCACACAGCAGCAGCACACTCTGCCTTTAGACCCAGACAATGAGGTCCCAGACCTGACACGTTAGAGGGCCCCTGCCTGGCCCTCATTATGTGGAGTCAGCAGAGTCAAGGGATGTGGCCATCTGGAACAAGCATACATCCCAAACTCCCCTTTTAAACTGCTACTTGGGACCTGGAGAATTCCCTGCCCCAGTCATCCTCAAATCCTGCTTCCAGGGCATACCAGCAATAAGAAGCCACTGAAGAATTCTATAAAGGAGAATGACACAATCAGATATGTAGGTTACAGAGGGACCTGAACGGCAGATCTAGAGGAGGGATGAGTAATTAAAGGAGACTCTACTGCTCCGGATATTACAAGGAAATTAAAGCTGTAGCAAAGACAGGAGTAGAGGTAGATTAGTGCTGACCAAACACTGGTTGAAAGAACTGACTCAATATGGAGATTAAGTGAAGAATCTAGGGTTCTCTTCTATCTACTTTTACTTAAAAAGGATCATACAAAGAACACAGAGATAATTTAGTTAAACATTTGTTTCTGGCAAGTCATAGACAATAACTATTAATTCAACTTCTCGTAGAGATGAAGTGGGAAATGCTGTTTATTTATACTCAAGGGAAATTATTTCATTCTAAAATTTTAAAGAGGTGGTATGAGTTGACACCTTGCAGAACATTCAGAAAATAAGGCTCAAAAGAAAAAAAACCTAGAAAGAATACACACACACACGTATGTGTATATGTATATATACATACATGTGATATATACATATATACATACGTGTGTGTGTATGTGTGTTATCTCGGGGTACTAGGACTACAAATTATTTTATTAATCCATATTTTTAAATTCCCCAAAATAAGTTTTAAATAGGAAAGATAGTGCTAGATTATAGACTAGTCTCTTTACTTCCTTCTTCTCTATATCCTGCAAATACATTCCCTTAGTTATAAGGAATTTTCCTATTTCGTTACAGTTGTTACTAAAAAATCTATTTAGATGATGGCAAGGCCCTGACCTTCAACAGGAAGTGGCCTATAATCAAATAGCATAATTCCATTTGATGCAAAATTGTAAAAAGGGTGAAATGTTGATCAGATGCCATCTCTCTGAGAGGCAATATAGCAGGGAAGAGGTCTCACAGCAAAACAGACCTAAGGAATCCAAATGCCTGAGTCTAACACTCGGCTGCATTTATTACGTGACATAGACAATTATTTATGTTCCACATACCTCAGTTTTCCTATCTGTAAAATAACAGTAGTAATAACATCAATAGGGTTGATGAGGGAATTAGGGAAATTTATATTTGTAAAGCACTTACAACAATTCCTGGCACTTAATAATATGGCCCTTAGTACATCTTACTTTCCAATAATAATAATAATAATAATAGTATTACTACTACTACTATTAATATTAATATTATAAATGCTAGCTTCCCTCTAGTTTTATCACTTTTAGCCAGGGGTTCTTCTCAGGCAAATGTGTACTAAGGCAAACTTAGGTACTAACTGATAATTAAGATGTTAGCTGAGGACTAAGGTCAGACCTCTCCCAGGGGTATTTGCATTTTAAAAGGCGATCTTTCAGATAAAATCTTTTTAAAAATCCAAAGAAGTGAAACCAGAATGGTGGAATGACAGATCATGAGATTAATATTTTAGAGTAGGGGGCCCACTTGCTCAGTCTATTTATGAAAGAAACCAGTAGGGGGTGGACGACCAAGCGAAGGGCAGGGAAGAATGAAGAAGGAGCTAGAGAGCCAGGCTGCTGCCACCAGAGACCTCCAGTTTGCTCTGCTGCCTGGAGCCACAGCTCAGAGACAGTTACTAGAGTACCCCAAAGAGGCCTGGTCACACAAAGATCTAAAAGCCTGGCCACAGCTCAGAGACAGTTACTAGAGTACCCCAAAGGGGCCTGGTCACACAAAGATCTAAAAGCCTGGCCACAGCTCGGAGACAGTTACTAGCGTACCCCAAAGGGGCCTCGTCACACAAAGATCTACAAGCTTGGAAGAGAAGAAAGGGGGTTGGGAGTACTTCTTGACACTTCCTATTTTCCTCTACTGGGTTCAGAGCACTTCTTTTCATTTGCTAATCCACTGCTGAGAAGCTATATATTAGCTCTGTTTGGCTCCAGCAGATAGGATAAGTGATTTGGGGCAGTATATTCATTTTATAGAGAGTTAACAAAATATTTTTGTACCCCCCCCCATGTAGATTCTGGTAAAATATTACCTGTATCTATATATAATAGCAATATACAAATAGTCAAGATGTTTTGAATGAAATCTATATATAAAGATTAAAATTACCTATATCATTTTCTCATATTTTTAAAAAGTTTCACACTTTAAATTTCACTTAACAGCTACGAAATGGCTTTTTTAAAAACCAGATATGCTATCTTTATTTTAAATACAGATGGATTTATAAATATTCTGAAAGCTTCACTTTGTCATTCTTCACTGCTTAAAGACAATAAAAAATTTAATTTGTTCAAAGAAAACCATTCAAGCTACTCAAACTTTTCATGCCATATAAATGAGCAAGCATCTTTATTTTTACAATTCCCTTCAGCAAATCTCTAAAGTTTACAAAATAATTGTATTTGACTTGTTGAAACCTAATTATTTTACAGAGTTAGCATACCATTAAAGCAATTATAAAATAGAAAGCTAAAATGACTAGAAGAGAAATAAAACATAAGATCTTATTAGATATGGTATTTATAGTCAAAGGTTTATATCCACACAAACATCAAATAAGATTACAGGTAAAATATTTAACTTGTTACGGTTCGACAGCATAAAACTGCTTATAC